TACTACAGCAGCAGCAGCAGCTGACGGTGCTACAGCAGCAGCAGCAGCTGACAGTGCTACAGCAGCAGCAGCATCAGCAGTTGACCATGGTACCACAGTATTTCGATAATATTTCTCACCCTTTTTACCACAGGGTTGGCCCTAGAAGCTTTCTTGGGGCCCATGGCCACTTATTTTGCAGATAAAATCACCAAAAACGCTTTAATAATACAAAATGTTCCGATTATATGCTTGGATATTACCACGAAGGCTGGCTTGTAAACAATGCCACCGGTGGAACATGTGAGGCTGGCTCAGGCCTTTCATAGACGCGTCTCGGACGAATAGCATTGAGAAGTTTTTTAGCGCTATGCGAGGCAAAATTTTAGTGATAAAATGTATCGCTATGCGGATTTAACATTATGTGATGCCAACGGTATGCGGGGGTCCACTGTAGAAAGTTAAGCTGGCTAATTATAAAACCAACTGTCATACTTAATAAATATACATATGGTAAAGGCTGTGAAATCAATACATGTATATATACAGTGGACCCTCAAGTTTCAAACGTACCAATTATCGAACTTTTCGAGTTTCGACCGCTTTCTCCGAGCCAATTTTGTTCCGAGTATCGAACTCTACCCGTCTTTCGAACCACCAGGTACCGGACCTGTCCGCCAGCCCGCTCTGTCCACATCCCCGTGCAGGTGTCGTGAGCAGTCTGGCTTTGTTGATGCTTGAATGAACACTAACCTGCACGCTCATTCAAATATTTCACTATTAATTCATTGTGTTTAGTGCTTGTGCGACTGTGAAATAAGCTACCATGTGCCCAAAGAAATTTGCTAGTGGTACCCCTGTGGTAAAGAAAGTGAGAAATGCCATAGACATGAAGAAGGAAATAACACAAAAATATGAGAGTGGTGTGAGACTTGTTGAGCTGGTCAGGATGTATGGCAAAAACAAGTCAATCAATGCTTCTATCCTGGCAAAGAAAGAACAAATCAAGGAAGCTGATGTTATGAAAGGTGTTGATATGCTAACCAAAAATAGACCACAGACAGTCGATCAGGTTGAGAAGTTGTTGCTGGTGTGGATCAAGGATAAAGAGATGGAAGGTGATAGTGTTTCGGAGAGATTATTTGTGAAAAGGCAAGGAAGTTGCATGCCAACGGTAAAGAAAACTCCTGGAACCAGTGAATTTAAGGCCAGCAAAGGCTGGTTTGAAAGATTTAAGAAGCGTAGTGGCATACACAATGTTGTAAGGCATGGTGAGGCAGCCAGTTCAGACAAACGGGCGGCTGAGAAGTTTGTACGGGAGTTTAAGGGGTACGGAGACACTGAAAAATTCAAACCCCAACAAGTGTTCAATTGCAACGAAACAGGCCTGTTTTGGAAGAAAATGCCAATGAGGACCTACATCACACAGGAGGAAAAGGCACTCCCAGGACACAAGCCTATGAAAGACAGGCTAACTCTTTTGTCTGTGCTAAAGCTAGGGGTGATTTTAAAGTAAAGCCTTTACTTGTGTATCACTCAGGAAATCCCAGAGCGTTTAAGAAAAACAATGTCATTAAGAACAAGTTATGTGTCTTGTGGAAAGCAAATAATAAGGTATGGGTCACAAGGCAAATTTTCAAAGAGTGGGTCCATGAAGTGTTTGGCCCCAATGTGAGAAAATACCTCCTAGGAAATAATTTGCCAGTCAAGTGCCTCCTGTTAATGGACAATGCTCCTGAACATCCTCCAAACTTGGTAGACCTACTGTCTAGGGACTACAGTTTCATCACAGTGAAGTTCTTGCCTCCTAACACCACTCCTCTCCTCCAGCCCATGGACCAGCAGGTCATTTCTAACTTCAAAAAACTACATAAAAGCAGTGTTTGAAAAGTGCTTTGAAGTGATCACAGACATTAAGTTGACCCTAAGAGAGTTCTGGAGGAATCACTTCAATATCTACAGCTCCATAAGCCTTATAGACAAGACTTGGGAGGGAGTGACTTCCAGGACTTTGAACTCAGCTTGGAGACAATTGTGGCCAGATTGTGTCCAAAAGAGGGATTTTGAAGGGTTTGAGGCTGACCCTGACCCTGCTGACCCTCTGCCTGTTGTGGACTCCATTGTGGCATTGGGGAACACCCTGGGGCTGGAGGTTAGTGGAGAAGATGTGGAAGAGTTGGTGAACGACCACAGGGAAGAGCTAACCACTGAAGAGCTGGAAGAGCCTCATCTGGAACAGCATCAGACCACAGCTCAGGAACTTGCTTCAGAGAAGGAAGAGGGAGTGGAGGAGGTGCCTTCTTCAGTGATTAAGGACATGTGTTGAAAAGTATCACCCTGACCAAGCTGTGTTGCAACCCCTGAATGGGTTGCAATATATATAATGTGTATTATGATTAAGAATATGTATATATATAATTATTAGCTTTTCATATAATTTTATATTGCTTATATTTGCGATAATAGCTAAATCGTAAATGTATTGCTTTATATTATTATTTGACTTAGCTAAATTTTGTGAGGTAGGATGTAACATATTATGTGCTCAGTTCAAGTCTTGATTGTCTAACTACTGTAATTATCGCTTGTGGCTCGTTAGACTGCCGGCTTCTGTTTCTGAGCTGCAGCTGTCCACGGAGCTATCACGTGATTGAGGGGGGGGTGTCATCACCTCACCTGAAGTATTCAGTCTGATCTAGACTCGCTTGGTGGTTGGACGTATCCCTGACAAGAGCCTAAATCTCCCTTATTGGCCCTTGTTGGAGGATCATCTCTGTAGCTTTGTTAGTTCTGTAGAACTGTTCACAGAACATTGTGTAGACTTAGTGATTTTCGACGTTGTACTGAGGTTGTGTGTCGCATAGACACTCTGAACAACTCAGGTCCTGAGCTGTAGCTTCTGACCTAATTTGTACTGGTTTCTGTGTACTGTCACAGTCGGGGATTTTCTTATGCTGAACTTCGATTCAGTAGTATGGGAGTTTTGTGACTTTTGTGGAGGATCTGCAGATGGTCCCTACTTAGTGTCGTTATATTATCTCCTTGTTCCTGATTCTGTGTCGCAGTTGCTTGTTATATTGCTATTGGGTTTAGCATTCTCTTTGTTGTTCAAGCAGACTGTTCTGATTGCCAGTTGGTCAAGAAGTTAGTTTATTTGAGGACTTTGTCAGTCACTTGTTTAAGTCTAGTCGAGTCGTGAGACAAAGCGAACTACTTAGAGCACTTACACACATACACACAAAATTACTTGTACATATTTGTAATATCTTATTAAATGTTAATGTACCAGACGGTACTTAAGAATTATAAATGTGATATGTGCTTTCAGCACAATAATATTGAACTCGAGAGAAGTGATATTATTTTGATTACTGTGATTAATTTAATTTAATTTAATTTGATAATATACCTCTAGACTTAATAAATTTATTAAATTTTAATTTCTCTAGTTAGTAGCCTACCAGTTGTAATCCTGAAGCACTATTGAATCATACTGAATTCTAATGGATAATTGGACAAGGATACTGACTACTTGTTATGAAAACCCAGTAACAGGCTGGATGCTAGAAGGGCAGTCCTTTTTAGTATTCACTGGAGATCTCTAAGCTTTCAGAATCGCATTTTTTGTAACAAGCTGAAACAAGCCATCTCTGCAACAAGTTCAGTGACAGAGTCATGTCCCACTTTAGGGAAATGCTAAAGAGGTGCCAGATACAGAGGACTGTGGACAGTTATTTTGCGAAACAGGAGTCCAGTGACTCTCAAGCTGGTCCTAGTGGCATTAAAAGACAGAGAAGGAAAGTAGCCCCAGAAAACAGCTTGTTACCTAAAGTCTTTATGGAAGGGGATTCCCTTCCAAACACTAACCCCCAACTGCCTCTGTCCTCCTTCCTATCTTCCAGATGCCATCACCAATCTTCAATAAAGGTAAGTAAAACTGTTATTTTATGTTTCTTTCTTTCAATGCACCAGCCGTATCCCACTGAGGTGGGGTGGCCCAAAAGGACAAATGAAAGTTTCTCCTTTTAAATTTAGTAATATATACAGGAGAAGGGGTTACTAGCCCCTTGCTCCCGGCATTTTAGTCGCCTCTTACGACACGCATGGCTTACAGAGGAAGAATTCTGTTCCACTTCCCCATGGAAAATTTTATATGTTTATTTAAACTTATTACTAATTGTACTATGTTTGTTGTGTGTATGCAAAACTATAATGTAATCTCTATAAAATGTATTTTTTTTATGAATATTTTTGGGTTTCTGGAACAGATTAATTGTATTTCCATTATTTCTTATGGGAAATATTGGTTCGACTTTCGAACATTTCGACTTTAGAACTAGCTCCTGGAATGGATTAAGTTCGAAACTCGAGGGTCCACTGTAAAGGGATTTTCTTGATGCTGTATTACAGGTGTCCCTCTCATGATGTAATACAAGTGTTCCTGGCTGATAATAATGCTAAATAATACATGTTAGAATGAATTGCTGAAGTGTAATGAACACTTGTCAGTGCTCAATAATAACCAACATGGAGACAGAAACTCAGGAGATTAATTGATATGTATATTTCAACACCCTTCTGGGATCCTCTTCAGCACATTCTCTGCTGAAGTGGATCCCAGAAGGGCATTGATTTTTTTTTTTTTAACAAGTTGGCCATCTCCCACTGAGGCAGGGTGACCCAAAAAGAGAGAAAATCCCCAAAAAGAAAATACTTTCATCATCATTCAACACTTTCACCTCACTCACACATATCAATTAATCTCCTGGGTTTGTCTCACCAAGGAGAAGTGGAGAAGAATCCTTCCTCCATAAGTCATGCATGTTGTAAGAGGCAAATAAAATGCCAGGAACAAGGGACTAGTAACCCCTTCTGTATAAATTACTAAATATAAAAAGAAGAAAAACTTTATTTCTTTTTTGGGTCACCCTGCCTCGGTGGGAAATAGTCGATGTGCTATAAAAAAAAAATTGTCTCCATGTGGATTATTACTGAGTATCTTAGAATGATTTTATGGCTACCTTTTTATCTTTGTCAGCATGTCTGATGTTCTTCTCTCGCATTTTCTCACAGGAGCTGAGAGCTGGGCAAGCAGAAAGACATTCATCCTCAGACTCAAAGTTGTTGAGGTTGCCTCCGCAGCCACCAAAACGGAAGGTCTCACAGCGATTGGATTCGGCATTAAAGAACCAGCGTTTAATAGATCCCTCACAGTATCCAGAATCTTTTCTCTCATAGCAAACTTCCCCTAAAAAAAGAATGCACTAAATTAGTTCAATAAGTAGAGAAGCCAAGAATATCACTGCAGTGATGAACAATAGAGAGAGATATTGGGAGACTATCAAATGTTGGTATGTTATAATGTAATACAGCAGAGTAAACATTCCAGAGTGCATGAAATCTAACATAAATTAAAAACTGAACTCTGCAAATAAATAATTCAGTGCACTTCTAGAAAGGCAGTTCAACCATTCTTGAAAAATATCCTGACTCTGCCCACTGTAAATGATGCATATACACTTAAACTTATTTTCCTGCGTGTGACCTAATTCACATCTGCATAAATAACTCATTACAATTGTAACCTGATATAAACGTAAATAGTTCGTTTCCACTGTAACTTGTATAGCTATCAAAACTTTGTGGTGCAGTCCCTGGACCCATTATGTGCTTTTGCAATCTTTTGACTACTGCTCACAGGATGGGTATTTATATCCATAGTAGATATATTAAACTAACTACAACCTCTCCTCACTTAGCAACATACTTGTTTACCAACAACTCAAATTTATAATGGGCTCTCCGACCTGTATGCATACCTAAACAATGTATATTATAGTTGATTTCTTCTGTTCTGTTTCTTACAATATACAGTACACTACTATATAAACATTTAAAAATATACTGAGGATATTATAAATGGTGCAAAGGTGACATTAAAACAATATCAAAGATGGCTGACACACACCCACTACCATTATAGTATGTTCCTTATGTGGTCTTATGAATGGAACTCCGTTGTTAAGTAAGGAGAGGCTGTAATAACTTTGGCAAAACAAAAATTGAATGAATGATGGTAAATGTGGTTTTTTCTTTGGTTCACCCAGGCTTGCCTGGAGATGGGAGTTGAGGTAAACAAAAAAAAAAAACTAATAAATATTTACATTATTATGCAAAATAACCAGTTGTGAATTTCCAAACACTTTCATGATTTTTCACATTATCAAAGGCCTGAGAATGTGCGAAATAACGAAAGTGCTTGGAAACTCACTTTTTTCCAGTGATTTTTTGCATATTGTGATATCACCTGTATACTGTAATCTTATTACATTCCATTATTATATTCACACTAATGCAACAAATTTGTGTAGGTACTGTATTGCTGGTACAATGTGACATTCAACCATTTGACTTTTGTTAATGATGTATACGAACAATCACATGAAAGTGTTGGGAACAACAGTTCCACATATATCTGATAAAAGTTCAAATAAAAACATAAAATACAGACAAGTCTTGATTACTGTGAATAATAAATCCTGTGAAGTGGTCACATTATTTATATTATGTGTAATTTTTGCACGCGATTTGATGAGACTCGGGGGGGGGGGGGGGAACTAGCATTAATTAATTTTGCACTTAAATCAAAATTTGTACTAAAGAAGACCTGGTTGTATTGTAAATAATATAATAATTCAGATAAAGTAGAAACTTTTTTCTTTTTTTAAGAAAGTGAAAATTGCTACCTAAGTTTAACTTATAAATACACAACATGAAAAGAGGACTTCACTTAAATTACTTACGAGGTTTGGGGCAGCAAAGTGCATATTCACCCAAGGGTGAGAGGTGACATTTATGGCTGGAGGGGCAGGTGCTCCCCTCTGGACCACACTCTACAACACTTTCATTCAGCCTCAGTGGTGAACCTGCAGAAAGGATTATGACTTTTAGGGCAATATGCAAACAGTAACAACAGAACTGGAAATCATTATTATTTTTTTAACATGTTGGCCATCTTCCACCAAGGCATGGTAACCTGAAAAAGAAGAATTTTGTTTTTTCCAACAAACTGGCCATATCCCACTGAGGCAGGGTGCCCTAAAAAGAAAAACAAAAGTTTTTCTTTTTACATATAGTAATTTATACAGGAGAAGGGTTTACTAGTTCCTTGCTCCTGGCATTTTAATCGCCTCTTAAGACACACGTGGCTTACGAAGGAAGGATTATTCTCCATTTCCCCATGAAGTTGAGATTACAATTATTCCAATCAAAATGAAGTGCTAAACTCACGAGGGTCATACAGCACTCTTAGCACTGGAGAAAGATGAAAATTGGCATGAATTTTCTTGCTGTCGCACATTAATTATAAACCTGAGCTAAGATAAACAATTTGGTGATACTATACAATGGTGAACATCACCAGCCAATTTAACCCTAGTAATGTATTCATGATTGTGAGTCGTGAAACAGAATTGTGAAAAGCATCACATTCACAGGTTCTTCATTATCAATATCATTTGATATATACCCAGCATTCTTCCTCCATAAGCCATGTATTTTCTAAGAGGCAACAAATGCGGGAGAAGGGGTTAACCTTTCCGGTATTTTACTAAATGTACAAAAAAAAAAGTTTTTTTTCTTTTTTAGGTAAACCCTCCTTGGGGGGTGCCCTAAAAAAAAAAAAAAATATTATATATATATATTATATTTATAAAAATTATATATAAAAATATATTTAATTATATTTTATTATATTATATATTTTTTTTTTTTTTTTTTTTTTTTTCAAAAAGTCGGCGTTCCCCCCGGGGCGGGTGACCAAAAAAGAAAGAAAACCCCAAAAAGAAAAATACTTTCTCTCATTCAAACTTTCCCCACACTCGCCATTATCACTTTTTTTGCAGAGGTGCTAGTACAACAGCTGAAGATAAACATAAAAAGTTTAACAAAACAATCCCCAAACTGCAATACCCCAAACCCCCCTTTTAAAGTGGGGCTTTGTATTCCCTTTCAGGACTCAAGTCCGCTATTGAAAATAACGGTTTTCCCCTGAATCCCTTCACTAAATTTCCCCTGCCACACCCCAAAACAGATCGTACCCCCAAGTACTTCGTCTCCATTCACTCCTATTAACCGTCCGCCGTTTGCTGGGTCCAACCCCCTTCCCCAAAAAAAACCCCCTTTACCCCTCTCCCCACCTTTTCGAGGACGACCCTACCCCCCCTTCCTACCCCTATAGTTTTTATTGTTTTCCATGTCATTCTACTGTGTCCATTCTCTAAAGACCAAAACCACCTCAACAACCCCTCTTCTCCCCTCTGATATACTTTTATTAACTCCCCCCTTCTCCTATTTCCAACTCCAAATTTTTCTGCATAATATTTACCCCACCTTTCCCCTTAAAACAGGACTCCCCGCTGCCCCCAACCGTCCCCTCGCTGCTGCATTTACACCAAGTTCACACCCAAAAAGATTTTTTGGATACTATACTTTCATACTTCCCCTTTTTTTCCCTCCTTAAAAAAAAAATTTTTTTGCTCCACTATACCTAACGCACCACCACCTTTTTTCCCTATCAATTCTAGATTAACCTCTCCTTCATAATCCATCCGCCGACCGTAAAACTCCCAGTATTGAAAAATTCCTTCTTCCTACTCCCCCTCCCAATTTGATACCCAATTTTTCTTTATCTAATTTTTTGCACCCCATCACCTTACTCTTTTCTATTTTCACTTTCAACTTTTACCTTTACACACTTTCCCAAACTCATCCACAAACCCTTTGCAATTTTTTTTTTAAAATCTCCCATAAGACAGATCATCAGAAAAAAGTAATGTGTAAATTTTCCCATTTTGTTTTTGATTCCCATAATTTAATCCACCCCCTCCAAACCCCCTAGCTTTATTTCCCTTTCAACCCCATCTATAAATTTTTTTAAAAAACCCATGGTGACATTACACACCCCCTGTCTAAGACCTATTTTCCCGGGGAAATAGTTCCTTTTTCTACACCCCCTAACCTGAGCCCCCTTCCCTAAAAAAAAAACTTTACAGCATTTAATAACTTCCCCCACCCATTTATTGCAAATCTGCCACTTGTCCTTATCATTATCTATGCCTTTCAAATCCAAAAATGCAATAAAAACTTCCCTATCTTTTTAAATAGGTTAATATATGTTTTAAATGTAAAACCCCTGACTAACATCCCCTACCCACTCTAAAACCCCCTTGCTCATCCGAAATCCTACTTTCTGTTTCCTCTAATTTTTTAAAATTATAACCCTACCGTACACTTTTCCTGTTTTACTCGTAGCTTATTTCCCTATAATTTTTACAGTCTTTTTGCCCCCTTTTCCCTTTTTTTAAAAAAGGGACTATACATGCTCTCGCAATCCGGTACTTCCCCCTTTTTAACTTTTTTAAAAAACAAAAGTAAAAAACCACCCCAAACCAAAACCCCCCCTGTTTTAACATTTCTGTCAGACCCCATCATTTCCCAGTGCTTTCCCCCTTTTCATTTTACGTAATGCCTCCGTACCCCCCCCCACACTTACATTTTTTTCTTCTTATTCAAAAAGAGGGTATACCCCCCGCCAGGCATGAAATTACTGCCTCTGTTTCTTCCTTAACATTTAAAATTTCCCTAAAAATTTTCCCCTCTCCCCAATACCCCCATCTCCCTCTACAAATCCCTACTTGTTTTTAACTGACAAATCATTTTCCCTAGGCTTTCTTAACTTTTTTAAACTCACTCCAAAATTTTTTCTTATTTTCATTAAAAAATTTTTGACAGTGCCTCTCCCACCTTCTTGCTCTCCTTTTGAACCCTCTCACCACTCTCTTTCCCCTTTTTTTTACTTCCAATACTCTGTCTTTTTTTAAAAACATTTTGCTTTTGTAAAACCCTCTCATAAGCTCCCTTTTTTCTTTTATCCCCCCTTTACTTCACATTCCACCAATCACCCCCTTTTCCCCCTCCCCCACCCCCCTTTAAAACCCCAAAAAACTTCCCCCCCACATTCAATTGCATTTTTAAAACTTTCCAACCCTTAAAACCCCCCACTACTCATCTTTGCCTAGCCCCCCTTTCTGAATGTCGCTTTAATCTCACCGAACTTCCTCTCCCTTTATTTTATACCTTTCATTCCTTTTATTGTTGTTGCCCCTTCCTTTTTTTCCATCTCCCTTTCTCTAATGTAGCTAAACTAATAATGACCCGATATATCAGTTGCCCCCTCTAAAAAACATGTACTCCTGGAGCCTACCATACCTTTTATCCCCCAATACATAATCAATAAATACTTTCATGTGCTACATCTCCTTGTTATTTATTTACCCTCTTTTAAAAATATGTATTCTTATTCCCCAAATTTCTTTTACACATAGCCAATTAAGGTCCCCATTTACTTTTCCCCCTGGCCCCCCAAATTTACCCTACTCCCCCCATAACTTTTTTTCCCCACTTTAGCTTAAAAAACCCCCAACCCACTTATTTCCACACGATTAAAAAACCCCCACGATTCACTCAACTTTTCCCAAAAAATCCTTTTTCCCTTACATTCTCTTTTTCTGGGATCCCGCTTATTATAACCACTTTTCACATCCAATCTTTATTTTTATCCATAACCCTTTAAATTAAATACATTTATAGCCCTCTTTTCCTGCCTAGCTTATCCTTAAACATTATTGCTATCCTTCTTTGCTCTAATCTATTTAAAACCCCCTGACCTAATCCCATTTATTCCTCCCCACTGAACCCCCCACCCCCTTCGCTTTGTTTACTTAAAGCCGGAAATCCAGCTTTTTATTCTAACACCCAAATATCTCTTTTTATCATTGCAAAACATCCACGCACATTCAGACTTCCACTTGGAAAATTTTTATATATTATTATAATATTATATTAATATATTTTATATTATTTATAAAATTATATATATATATTATTATTATTTTTTATTATCACCCCGGCGATTCCCCCCCAAGGCAGGGTGGCCCGAAAAAAAAAAACTTTCACCATCATTCATCCATCACTGTCTTGCCAGAAGGGTGGCTTTACATAAGTTTTTAAACGAAACTTAACACCCCTCCGAGGCAGGGGACCCAAAAAAAAAAGAAAATCCCCAAAAAGAAAATGCTTTCATCATATTAACATTTTCACCACCCCAACACATAATCACCGTCTTTGCAGAGGTGTCAAAACAAAACAGTTTAGAAGCATATGTATAAAGATAAAACATATCCCTCCAAACTCCCAAATATCCCAAACCCCCCTTTAAAGTGAGGCATTGTATTTCCCATTTCCAGGACTAAAGCCGACTATTGAAAAAAACCGGTTTCCTAAATCCCTTCCTAAATTTCCCCTGCTCACACCCCAACAGATGTCGGCCCAAAAGTACCTTTGTCTCATTCACCATCTAAACTGCTCCGCCGCTTCTAAAATCCGCCCCTTTTGCCACAAAACCCCCCTTACCCCCCTCTCCAACCTTTCGAGGCGCCCCCTACCTCCCCTTTCCTTCCCCTTTAAGTTTTTATAGTTTTCCCAGTCTTCTACTTTATCCTTCTCTTAAGAAAAAACCCACTCAAAAACCCCCTTTCTCCCCTCTGAAAATACTTTTATTAACCCCAAACCCCTTTTTCCAATTTCCCACTCCAAATTTTTCTGTTTAATTTACCCCACACTTCCCCTTAGACGGCATCCCCCACTGCCTCCAACCGTCTCCTCGCTGTTGCATTTACCACCCAAGTTTCACACCTAAAAAGAGTTTTGGGTATCTATACTTTCAACTTCCCCTTCTTTCCCTCCATAGATAACTTTTTTTGTCCAATATCCCCCCAACCCCCCACTCACCTTTTTTTCCCTATTTTTCTATGTTCCCCTTTCCCCCTTAAAAAACCATCCCCCGGGGGGGGGGGGGGGGGGGAAC